CAGTACAGTGAAGTCATCAATGGTAGATACATCTATAGATATGACTTCATCTGTCTCTTTAACATGAACATTGTACCAGTTCTTATGTTTACCATTAGCCCTTCCTCCTCTTGACAATACAACAGCCTCATACTGTGTCCCATCATCAACAAAGATTATTGTTGAGCCTCTCTTAATGGCAGTTGGCTTGTCAATTCTTTGATCCTGCTTAGTACTGACTGTGTTGTTATCTAACTCAGCAATTTCAGGCAAACTTGTAGGTGACTCAGCTTCGATTTCAGCTGGATAATTAACTTCAGCTACAGGGTTTGTAGAAGGCTCTACTTCAACTTCTTGGACTGGAACATCATCACTAGAACAGTCAAGACCTGGTATTCTAAGTACACTTGCTTGATAGACTCAACATCCTGAATTGGACCATTTGTACTATCAGATTTAGATTCATAGGGAACCTGGTCCTTCACAAGAGAGATCCTGCTCTGATGTACTCTTGTTACAAAGCTTCCTTGACGAAGAAATACCACTGTACTATCTTGTCCTATTACCGTTGCAGGGCCCTTCCACTTGTCTGATCCCACAGCTTTGTAGTAAACTTTACTTCCAAAGGTTATGGGTGTTGTGTAAGTTCTCAGTGGCTTCTTCAAAGCCTTCATTATCCTATTGGAGCTTTCACAGCTTAGAAACATCCTTCTAGAAGCGTTCATTGCATTAATATGACTAGCGACTACTTTACTTGATGTTTCATTCTCAAGAGCAGGTGGACTTGAGTTGAGGACATTGGGCAGGTATGTTTGTGTCCCAAACATGAGCTGATTGGGTGAGAAACCCGCAACAGTACTGAGTGAGTTCTTTGCACTACACGCCCAGCTGAGTATGGTATCAACATTAGTATTTGGAAATTCTTCAGCCAGTTTCAGCATCATCAAGGAAATTACAGCATTATGCCGCTCAACTATTCCATTTGAGAAAGGACTATAGGCAGCAGAAGTCTTATGCTCAATGTTGAAATTCTGTGTCCAATCTTCAAACTCTTTGGAACAAAACTCTCCGCCATTATCAGAGAATATCAATGAAGGGCACCCAAAGACGGATATCCATTTCTGACTGAGAACATCAATAATCTCACTAGTCTTCTTGGACCTGACAATCCCAGCCTGACTAAACCGAGAGAATTCATCAATGATGTGCAGGTAGTACAAATTATTATCCAGCTTGTGCAGATCAATGGCAACTGATTCATTTATTCCTCGAGCTCTTGGAAATGATGTGCATGGTTTAGCAGGAGCCTTCTTGTAAACTTGACAGATCTCACAAGTTTCAATGACCTCTTGTAGAACTCTAAACAAATCTACATCTCCCAAACCAGCATCACTAAGTAGTCGCCTGAGCTTGTCATATGAACCATGTCCCAGCTGACAATGAAGCTTTTTCACCGAAGCTTTGTCCAATTTCTTTTCGACAAACTGACAGACATTAACGGTAGCTGCTTCTTCTAAGTGGTCTTCAAATGTATCATCAATCTCAATGTGAGGCAACATATCAATCATTATTAGCCCAGTGGAGGTGAAAGAAGTAGGAATGTCCTTCCCAAACATACTAACACGGTTGTTGACCATATCAATGACAGTCTCAGTATTCTGCATAGTCTCTTGACTAATTAAAAGAGGTATATCATCATTTACCACATCACATTTTAGATCAAACAACTCACCATCAAGATTCATTGGCAGAAGAACCTGTTTTGTTGCTCTGATAGGGTCACCATCACCAAACCTATACACAGCCGAAGAAGGAGAGGTTTCGAGAACAACTTTGGACTTTTTCACAAAATCCTTCAACCATAATTCACCACACACTGTTTTGGTACAACCAGTATCCAAAATAGCATTACCAAATGATTCAGCAAGGTAAATAGCTTGGGGTGAGGAATACTCTTTGGTGAAATATTGAAGTTTCACCTTCTCTGTAACGTTCTCCAGATTAGGTTCACTTTCCAGCTCTCCTTGGACTGAGCGTGTAAAGAAGGATGGTGTACTTTTGCGTGGGCATTCTCGCACCAAATGATACTTTGAATCACATATCAAACACAACATTATGTTCCCATACTTGTCCTTTCGATTTATGTACTTGTTCTTGCCCTGATGTTGCTGCTGATTACCGTTCGGGTAATACTGTTGATTATTATTTGAGCTGAATTTGTTCCCTGATCTATAGTTTTGGTAGTTCTTTTGTCCTTGTCTGGCATAGAACGACTCTTGTGTCTCCTGCTTAATTTTGATATCATTTGATCCACATGTGCTGGTTTTTCCACCCAAGATACGTTTGATGACAGACTGCATTGAGTCATATTTAATATCAGTGCAAGCAGTCATGATCATTTTCTGTTCATCAGCACTCAGATCCATGGACCTCATCAATTTGAAAGCAAGCACATTATCAGGATAAGTAATGTCAATAGCTTTAGCTTGTTTCATAGCACGGTCAAAACGAATCATGAAGTCTGCGACTTCTTCATCTTGATTTCTTCTTATATCTTCAAAAATAACATACCTTTCATAGGCCATATCATTTTTGTCTTTCTCAAACACCTTGTCTAGATGTGTGATTAAAAGTTCCAAACCATTTTCTTTGACCATATCTTCTAGAGACATTTCAATTGCAACAGTTTTGTAGTCTCCACCCAAGACCCCAATAACCGTAGGAGCTTGTTTCTTCACCGCGACATCAGTCCCTAACTCCCAGATTTTTATCTCCTTTTTCCATGCTCCATAATCCTCACCAATCCTAGGAGGGCTTTGCTTTGACATTTTCACACTTCCTGCAACCACTGTTAACCTTGTGTTTGGTACCAGTAACTACACCGTTGTTATATGAAAGGTAGTAATGAATCGTATCAAGTCATACAGTATCAAGTCATACGCTTATATACAGCAAAGCCCTGGGAAATACATAGTTAATGATATAAAGCAACTTAACAAAGCAATTAGCATGAACGCGCGTATATATATACACAAATATTATTATATATGTATACTCAGTGGCGCGATTGGTTAGCCACTTTTCTATGATGCCATATGTAGGCGGTCCGAAGCCCGTTGAAGATCATTTTACTGGTACTTATTTTTGCAATGAAAAATTTGGCGATAGAGATAATTTTCAAACACAGTTTCAATAACAAATATCAAATAATACGATTTTGAATGCATATTAGGGCGTGCAAGCAGTTCTAGCAAAATAAGTTTAGTTCAAGCATATCGTATTCTCTCAAAATAGTTTCAGGAGATTCAGTGAAATGGTAATTCTAGCAAGATTTTCTTGCGCTAATTTAAGGGTCATATCAAAGGATTAATTCCTGTAAATTTTGAAAAATATGGTTACAGTAGGTTTCACTCTCAGAAAGGGCGCAAGGAGGAAGGATCTGGAACAATTTTTGAAACACTTGTTTTGAGGAATGAATTCTAGTAATAAGAAATGTAAATTTGGACTACAAGGGGCGAATTTCGTGCAGTTATACTGCAATTTGACAGGATATGCTGAATTAGGCCAAAAATCCCCCCCCCCCCCCCCCCCCGTGACACGTGACAATCGCACTTTCAAATGCCCATAATCCAGGCTCATCGCACTTTCTCAGCAATCTTGATAGGGGGTGTTACTTGTGTCATTACACTAACTTCATTGAGACTGATCGATAGTTTCCAGCTATATTTGAGGCACACTCTCTCTCTCTCTATTAAACAGCTTTATTCTCTGCTTATTAATTGATGTTAATATTGTTTGGTTCACACTTTGCGAAGATAGATTAATATTCTCCACAATGAAGTTATTCAGTAGTATACTAAAATTCCCATGATGACGATATATTAACAGTAAGTAAACTTGAAGACTTTTCTTTAAGAATAAATGCTAAATGTGGCATTTCCTTGTAATCAGTGCATCAATTGACAACTAGTATTTGCTGGTAAATTATCTTGTTCTGTAAACCATGAACAGCCACATTGTCTTGGTTCTGTTTGTATTGTTCGCGGTATCAGCTAAACCAGTTGAATTTGAGGTCGAAGAAGACATTAGTGATATTGAAGTTCCTGAGGCAGAGTTGGATGAGGCGGAGTTGGTGGATATGGTGGAGATAATTCATGATATGGATAGTGAGGGTAATATTTTAAAACACGGACTGAAGAGTGGTTTCAGAAAAGGATAATGGGATATATATTTATTCTTTACAACAAAGGACTGAAGAGCAATATGTTTATTTGTATGGAGAATTGCATGATGCATCCTATTTCAGACAATATTCCGGTTACTTGAACATTTCTTCTAAAGTAATTTCCTAATAAGGCATGCAACATATTTTAGAAACAGCCCTGAGAACACCGAATTATTTTCACCTTTTACAAAGGCATGTTAATTATCATTATAACAAGTATTTCAAAAAATAATATTAAGTAAAAAGGTGCACTGACTGAATGAAACCCTCATCAAAAGAGACTTGTGTGCGCAGTACTGGGCATATTCACAGACTCTTGTAGGCGAATCTTCGTCTTAATGTACAAATTTATCAGTTTAATTAGAATTCTCAATTTGGTGATGTCATTATTATTTATTACAGTCATTATGTTGGACAATATCCACACGTGTTTGTTTTGTTCATTGTTAAAATTCAAATACAAAAGTCTTGAGCTATGATTGGCTAATTATTTGTTACATATTATTTGATTTACAAAAGTCACTAAAGTGGTTAACAGTTTGTTTATGTTGGCACAGCTCAACAATTCAATAACATGTGAAAGCAAACAAAAGTTATAATCTTGGCAAAGAATCACTTTAATCAAACTATTAAATCTTGCCCAGAGATCATGCGCCTCGGGGACAAAGAAATATAAAATAACTTAATCTTCATATTTTGTTAAAACCAAACTGTACTGTCAGAACTAAAAATGGTTTTGCAAAATTATTACTGATTTATAAAAGAGTAGAGTACTATAAAGCTATAAACATGAACTAGCGGATGTGAATAACGCGTGATAAAGTAGATGGGTTGGATGACAGAGGAAGATGGAAGATTTAGGAAGATTGTTAGTTTCCCCACTGTCCCTCTCTCCCTCTCTTCCTACTGATGGTTATGTGGCTCAACTTAGACGGAACTGTTGCTACATCGTCAGTGCTGTTATTCTCAAAGATAACAAGGTATTGTTCATAGTGCTAAACTGTAAACCACGGTACTTAGTTATTCGTATAATTTTGTAACTACTACTAACCACAATACTTAGTTCCATATTTTAGTCGTCTACTTTTAAACCACACTTCTACTGAAATCTTAGTGTGTTATGATAAACAAGTGCTTGTTACTCGCATGTTACTATACTGCACTGCACGTGTCCCAACTTGGCTGGAGTCCAATAATCACCACTGACCAGGTGCTGATGATCCAGGAAGCTAAGCTGGGGTGTAGAGGTAAATGGTACCTGCCTGCAGGGAGAGTAGATCCTGGAGAAACACTGACACTGGCTGTACAGAGGGAGGTGCAGGAGGAGGCGGGGTTTCTCTTTAATCCGACACGTGTTGTGGGAATTGAGGGGAGCTCTCCTGGGTACGGTCAAGTTAGCTCAATAATATGGTTAACAGATCAAATAACCGTAATTTATTAAATTTGAGTATACCCTTGTATCGAGCAGAATTGTCGACCAGAAGTTTCCCTTAATTAAAATTGCTCTCGCCCAATTCAGGTGGATGAGATTTAACTTTTACGGAGAGATATCTGGAGGAGAACTGAAGACTCACGAAGACAAGGAAAGCATTCAAGCCAAGTGGTTTGATTTGACGGAAGTACTCGACCGCAGAATCGATTTAAGGTTTGCCATTATGTAGTCACGTTTCGAACATACTGTTTTAGTAACGCGCGGTGTTTCTGCAAGGGTACTTATTTTCCATAGCACGTGTTTTCTAACGCGCGCGCAGTGTCTATCGCCGGGATCGTTCATTAAACGCTGAATATCTTGAACATTTTCAATATTGTTTTATAACAATAACTATAATTATAAGTAGGGTTAGATGACCCGATTCTGGTTCAATAAATTGTATAATTTCAGGGCCGCCGATATTATCCCAGTGATACGGAATGCTGTGGTACAACAGGAGAAACTGTTTGTTGGTACTCTCCCTTCTGCGATAGAGAGAGCTAATTACACTGTATCCCTTGCTATCGTGTTTAATGATAATAGTGGGAGGTTTATCTTCGTTTATTTACAAATCTTTAAACTTATGATTCAATTTATAGTCACTCGATGATTAACACCCTTTCAAAGAACACTCCCTGTGACGGGCTGTGACTACGAGCATCCTAATTGCTAATTAACATTTAATATGGAATTAGATCTATTTTGATCGAAAATAGGAAAATAATATTTGCCGCCGTAGAGTCCTGTTTTTTCACACCCCCAGGCCCTAGAGTCCCGGTTTGCACGGCGCCGCCGTAAAGTCTTACGCCCTAGAGTCCCGGTCCCCCACCCCCTGATTCATGAGTTTAACATAGCTTACTTACAGTCCGATATCAGTTGTGACTGATAGAAGTGGAGGTCTCCCGACCATGTCTATTGAAAAAAGGGACCCCAAAAGCCATGCCAAACATATTTTCGACATATTTGGGATAGCTGACAAGATATGCAAGGTATGTGAGATCCATTGATTAAGGGACATTGGTCGTCACTCTTCTTTACTCAGAAACTTTATAGTTCAAACTCATTACATTTGAAAGTTTGCATAGGCTTGCAATCTTTTGATATGAAATCTGATATTTTCATATGTACGCACAGAAGTTCAACGTGTATTCGAGAATCACAGCTGATACAATAGCTGCGTTTAAAGTAGCAGTCCAGTTCTAAAACTCAACTTACTTGAGATCTACAAACAGTTCTAATTCAGGAGATTGTAGGAGTTGGCTCCACCTCTGACTTGTTATTTCGCGGTATTCTAACTTTAGCCTACGATGGTCGACAGGTACGTGTTGTTATGTGTTACAAGTGTTGTTATGTTTCACACGTGTTGTTATGAAAAATCTAACCAACAATCTTGAATTTTGACGAAGTGATAATTGTAAGGACATCTCGCTGAAGTAATAACAGCAACTAACTACTACGAATCTCGCTCATTCTTATCTAATTCTAAACTGAGATCACTTTCGTGAGAGTGGTTTTATTCTAATCACAGCTTGTCCTTTCCTTGATCCAATGAACTTCCCTATTAAATTGATTATCCTTGTCATGATTTTCTCGGCTGTCGATTTAAAAATAATAATGAGTGTGATCAAGAATGAATACTATTAAGCTTTAAAAGTCGTGGCTAAAATAATGACTGCCAGTCTCTTAGCATTTCTTATAAGCCTTATTTTTGTATTGTATTGAAGCGAATCATTGCAGATTTCACCTATCTACCTTTACCCTCTTGTTATCCATACTGCTGTATTCTATTTCTTGTAATCTATAGAATACCTCGCCCCCCCCCCCCCCACTAAAACTGATCCCAGGGAAAGGATGGTATTCACTTTACCTTGCTCTACGCCTCTTCCACACAACGTGAAATCAGTTCAGACTGCTCTTGGCAGAGTTCCAACAGTTCAGATATCAGGACACTACTTTCCTCTGACAGGATTATCCCTGTTAAATAGAAACATTGCGGGAGTGTACCAGTTACACTGGGTTAACTGAGTTGTGTGATAAGGTTATTTTAATACTTTCAACACTACTACATATAATATAACAAATAATTTGAGGCTCTAATGATGTAGTTTTACGAAGATTTCAAGCCTTATGTTGTGTGTTTCCCATCGTGTCCAAAAGCATTATAAGGTTATTAAGTTACACTTGTTAAACTTACTTCAATTGCTTTCATCTATCTGTTTTAGGAAAATTGAGAAGGAAATGAGGTACCCCTCTTCTGTTACATTATTTTTATGCAAATGAAAAGTAAGTCATCGTTGGTTACTGTTAGAGGTGACGCATTTATTTCCTGATATAGAATTATGTTTTGTAACTACAGCTTTTTATCCGTTTGATTACACTTTTGATATTTCATTTTGAGGTACATTTGTTTTGCAATATATTTTGATATCTTATGCTCCATATATCATCACTATAATTTTACGTTTTTTAGCAATGACGTTTTCCTTCTCTCTACAAATAGAATCGGTCTCAAGATTTCAATATAAATATCATAGAAAATACGAAATTGCTTTACATTTTTAACACGTTATTGAACATGAAATTAATAAGCATATCGTCAGAGAAAATGGATGCAATTAATCAATACACTACTCTCCCGCACGGCTAAAACGTGGCATTTTACATCGGTCACTATAATTCTTCTAGTGAGAGCATTCTAATTGGTATCTTATCTTTCAAATATTCATCTTTCAAATATTCATCTTTCAACTTAGCGCAGTGTTGTGCGCGTGTGTGAGCGTGTGTGTGGGCGTGTGCGTGTGTGTGTGTGAGCGTGTGTGTGGGCGTGTGTGTGAGCGTGTGTGTGAGCGTGTGTGTGAGCGTGTGTGTGGGCGTGTGTGTGGGCGTGTGTGTGGGCGTGTGCGTGTTTTATCATATTCAGTAATAGCATAACTCGTGAACTACCAAACATATCAGTAGCTCTAAACCCAAAACAGATTTGTCCTTCTTTTGAGATCACTTGTTAACAGTCTCACACTTCTGCCCGGTCTTGTTGTTCTTTTCAAGCTCTTATAAGATCATTGTCCTAGGACGGTTACTAAACTCTGATTAAAATCCTCTAGGCTCATTATGCAAATCTACTCTATGTATCGTGAGTATTAATGTGGCTTTCTGGTGAGGTTGTTTTGTAGTCTCTGTTCTTTCTCTGTCAGCTCTCAGTTGGTCCCCGCCCAATTGTTGCTAATCGACCTGAGCTGGGAGTATGAAATAGTTACCATGGAGACCTATACTAGGAGTACCATGTCTTTACACTATAATATACTATCCTCGTTTATGCGAAGCATCACCATTAATTTCGTAGCTTATCTCGAAATCGAAAGCCGATAACAATACTCGAATAAATAAAGATCTTAATTCGGAATTCTGAGTTTTACATTTTTCGCTGATCCTGACTAAATTATCTACTTTGCTGCGGTCAAATCTCCAGTCTCACACCCAGTGTCAGACTGGGGTCTCACAGTCACTACAGCTACTACGCACCTGTATTTTAAGATCATGATTCATCGTCACTACTGCTGCTACTACTACTGTCCGACTTGGAGTTAGGATAGACTTTAGTGAGCTGTTTCTGCAGTGTTAACACGCTCTTATTCGTCGTCTTTATCTCTGGGTAATTAGCATAATCATATAATTGGTAACTAATTAATTTGGTTAAAATCTAATTTAAAGATCTTTATCAAGTATATAGCCTATCAAGTATATAGCCTAGCCTAGATTTATATTTATCTGATATACTTAGATCTAGTGAATTAACATTACACCGTCAACCATGTACTCTATCACGTGTTTAGTGTACTGTTTCACAGGAGACCCTACTAGTGGACCCCTGTACTCGAGTGGACGCCTGTTGGCCCCCTAAAAGTGGACCCCTAACCTTTAGCTAGAGTGAGAACTAGTTTCTCCAGATCTTCCAATCTCTTTCCGAGAGTGTCTGCCAGTTCCACACTGTTTGTAAAACTAATTCTCCTCTCAGTCTCTGTGGTGTCCTCGTCTTGTTGGGGCTTAGCATCACGAGCTAGCTTCTGCCGTGCAGCCTGAGGAGAAGGGAGGTGGAATTGTGTACAATATCTCTGATGAGAATGAGTGATTTTAATATGAAATATTGATAACGATAGTTCGACATCTCTTCTGAATTGACTGTGTATAATATGTCATATATTGAGTGTGTTGTTGTGGGTGTGCTTGTGGGTGTGCTTGTGAGTGTGCTTGTGGGTGTGCTTGTGAGTTTGCTAGAAAACATCCTGGCTCCGGTAAGAAGGTAGATGGATGCTCAACTAAAATACCAAGTCACTTCATCTCGTCTTTTTAATCCGTCCTTCATATGCTTGACTGCGAAATTGCCTGTCCATTAATAGAAATGCTGTTTTCTTTTAAAGACTGGTTGCTTTGTTTTTATATTGCTGTTACGTTTACCGTGACTACATTCTTGTAGCTGTCAAGCCCCATATTGAATCTGCCCTGATCCTGTGGTTTCAGAACATCTATCAGATCAATATCATGCTCGGTAAGGTGGTCTATTAGTGATTCTCTGGAGTCTATAGAGGAGACTGAACCAGGGACTGACCCGTTAGTTTCCATACGTAGTGCCGCCACCTGGTGAGTCTTGTGTAACTATGGTAACTATCTTGTGTAATGAGATGTGGTACATACTCAGTGGTGATTGTATAATATGTAGCTATAGCGACACGCTAGGTAAGTGGTATTTCCAACTTACCCAGTTTAACTTATTAAAGTCCTAGTTAATAATATTATACTATTATAATATATCTACAGCACAACTTAGCACTCCGGAAGAAGGCGCGACAGTCCCGAATTAAGCTGGTTTGAATCAAATTTAATGCAGCAAGGCATAAGTTGGTCCGGAGTTTTGGTTTAAGTCATCTTGTTACCATATTATTATAATAGTTACCATAGGTACCATGTAACAGTTACCACGTTACCATTTAATGGTACTCACCATTTCAGCAACAGTTTTTAGAAAATACCTCTACATAAGGTTTATAAAATGTTACAGCCAGCGATATGAACTGCACATAATAGTAAAGACATTAAGACACAGTACACTTTAAGTTAATTACAGTTAATCGAGTAGTTAATTAATTAGTTGATTAGTTGATCACATGATTATTGGAACATTAAAACAGCTTATTAGAAAACAAAGCACAAAGACGGTTACCTAATCCCAACCCCCTCCAGTTACTGTTTATGTTTATTGTCAGGATATATAAACAGGTCGTCAATAGAACTCCGATCCCCTCAAATAGACCAAACGAAATATTGTCAGTCAAAGTTCACGTCAGTTCTTGTCTGGTTAACTGTCCTAAAATAGTATTTTTTCTTTAGTCCCAGTTAGTGATAGTGTCCGTCCGCCCGTCTGTCTGTCTGTACCCTGATTACATCCCCTCCCCATCGTACTCACCTCGGGAGTCTCTGGTCGTGGTGATTGGTTATTGAGGTTGAGTTTTTTCCTGGCTGCCTGTAAAGTTGTAGGAAATATTGTTGGGGGCGAAGATAAGGAGCTTCCTCGGAGGGACTCCACACAGTGATAAGGGTGCTTCAAGCAGCGGTAAAGAGAGGTGTAGATAACAAATGTAACACGTGGTGCCACGTGGTGTAGATAACAAATGCACACGTGGCACGTGGTGTAGATAACAAATGTACACGTGCCACATGGTGTAGATAACAAATGTACACGTGGTGCCACGTGGAATAACATGTGCAATACGAGTATTATGAAACATCACGTGCAACTAGTGCGTGCAAACAAGAATATACTTGTAGACCTTTATAGATATCCAGCGTGCAAACAAGGATATACTTGTAGACCTTTATCATTATTAAAAATATTCAGCGTGTCGGCCTGCGGTTCAGTCGAGAGCATTTCAATGCATTGTAGAAGCGATTTGTCCTTGAAATCATTGTTAATCACTTAGCGAAATGATTGAAATCTTGTCAGCGGATCTTTTAATCGAAGTAAGCATAGTTTTTGTAGCTGAGTACTTCTTGACATCCACCATCTATTCGAATGAGAATCAAAAAATCACCGGAATCGTTAGTAAAAGCGATGAACTAGTCACGGGAGCACTGAATGGCCGGAGGTGACTGTTTGGGCGATGTTCAAATTGATCGAGATCGTTAACTCCTAGGTGCACGATAGCCACCAAAATACAGAATTTTCAGCAACAAATTGAAAAGCGGTATATTGCGCTTGACATCTGAGTGATTGGTTAAACTCTCCTGAACAATCAGTAGAAATAAGTCCGTTAGAGCATATTAATTCAGCAGCAAGGGTAATCCACAGTATAAGTACCTTAAATCAGCGGCTTTTTAACGAAAAGGTCTTGAGAGCTTTAGCAAAACGAGAGCTTATTGATAATTAATAAACACGCTGAAGGGTAAATGGTTAACACTCAACATTTAGAACATGTTATGGTATTGTTAAGATAGGGATAGATAAACAGCTTAACAAGAAAAGCAGAAAACAATCTAAAACATTTAACATGGACATAAAGCAACGACATGATTTATACACGGTTTTTGACTTTGTTAGATAAGCATTAAAACAAATTAAACATATACATTATACATTGACACTTTGAAAGATACGGCATTCGTGTACGTAAATAAGCGTCAGGGACCAGCAGATAATATTATAATACATAGAGATTGGAACTGTTAGCTGCTAAGCTAGACCTAAGCTAATGCTAAGCTAGACCTAAGCTAAGCTAAGCTAGACATAAGCTAGACCTAAGCTAAGCTAAGCTAAGCTAAGCTAAGCTAGACCTAAGCTAGATTTAAGCCAGAGCTAAGCCAGACTTTAGCTAAATCTAAGCTAGACCTAAGCTAAGTGAAGATAAGCTAGACGAAGAGCTAAGCTAAGTGAATGTGAGCTAGATCTAAGCTAGATCTCAGCTAAGTGAATACTCGCTAACCTCCTTGAGGACCTCCCTCATCTCTGGGTAGTCGTTGAGAGCGTGGAGCAGATCCTCCTTCCTCAAGCAGAACAAGTCCGAGTACCCCACACTCCTCACGTTAGCAGTCCGTCTGTTTCCGTTCTTACCCACGTTCAGCAGACTGATCTCCCCAAAGTAGGACCCGTCTGATAAGGTGGCTAGAGCTCTACCGTCATCTGCTGTTACTTGCAACATGCCTGGAGGAGGAGGAGGGGTTACGTGAGGAATACACTTGAGGAGTGGTCACGTGTTGGGAGACTCATTTTACAGTTTTAGCACTAGGTTATTGTTCTGTCGTCACAAACATTTACATCCCTCGGAACTTTTACAAAACTAGGATCATCAAAAGGCCCTAAACTAAGAAAAGTCTCAGCACCTTGCAAGTTGTATTGTAGTTACCTTGCTTTACTATGAACATTTCTCTGCCAATATCCCCCTTTCTACAAACGTAGTCGCCAGGAGAGTACACCTGAGTAAGGAGTAGTGAGTAAGGAGTGAGTATAGTGATCTTAGTTTTTATTAAAATAGGTCCTTCTCTGCAACATTGACACCGGAACTGAGATCTAGACTCACAGGTTATCAAGATGGCGTTTTATAAAAAATGAAAAACACAACCAGATACGTAAGCTTATTAAAAAACACAAGGTATGCACTGTACTGTGCCCTGATATGTCACCATTCCCATGATTACAATACAGATAAATTATCAGAAGAGGGCGTGATTTTCATACTATCAGGGACCAATTTAATTTGACAACGCTAGAAATGTTTTAAAAGGGAGCCTTTTGTACAAATGTGATCGTGCATTAACAGACTTACCTGATGTTTAAGTTTAAGCACAAGTGCTATTAGAAAGCCGGACTCGCAGTTTTGGAATAGTTCCACCTGCTTTAAAGTTGCTAAATGTACGTGTATAGCCATTTCGGCTTGAAGTTTATCTGGTAAATACCTGTGGAAATATTTATTTTTATTATTTTTATACAATCTAATTAAAAAAGATCCCGGATTCATAATATTATAATTAAATATCTCCTTTAATGATAACGAACTAAAAATAGCTGGAAAGCACATGAATAAGTAGCTATAAACGCCCACGAACAAGTAATAGCGTCAATCACAACAGCTTCTGTACCCCATAAAGCAGAAATGGTTGAATGTACTGTTTAATGATTCAATGCCATGATACTAATATGCTTTATATAAATTATACGGATATAATCAAGACGGGTTATAGCTCTATGAAATCTGTTTTAAAAGTCTCCCCATGCGTGTTAGATAGGGAAGATGTCTGTAAATCAAATCACTACAGATACGGTGCTGTCTGGTGAGTGTGTGGAATGTGGTGGAAATGTTAGGTTTATCTTTAGTATTGCTTGGTATAGTTTTTGGAACTTTACCTTCGATTTCTAAATTCTCAATTAAAGGGAGGGGTGACCTCGCTCACATTATTAATATTATTAAGAATTACACTTACTTAATATAATTAATACAATGAAGAATTATACTTACTTTAACACATCTTCCTCCTCAAAAGTATGGTTTTGAGCCCACAAATAGTCGAACCACCGAATGATTCTATTTTGAAGGTCCTTGCCCACATTTCTGTAGCCCATATACTCCTTAAGATGATCAAGTCTATCTTGAAACACGCTCCTGTTTGCTCTTAAGTTTGTGATGATATTACCGATACTACCCACAACTGAAGCGAATATCATGACCCCAATAAGGAATATAATAGTCAGGTAAACATACTCCCATAGCTCTTCAGGCTGCTCCATCTCACCTATCGTGGTCATAGTCTGAGTGGACCAATAGAGCGACACGGCGTACTTCATAGCTGTACTAGCGTACTTGTTCTTAGTACCGTTCTTCTCCGTATCATACGGGTAAATGAACTTGCTGCGGTTAGGGTGAGTGTTTGGGTTTTGTCTGATAACAGTGGTAGACACGAAGAAGTAGAGGCACGCGTTCCAGTGCATGACCATGAGCATGATGGTGAAGAGAGTGACTATCCTCCACAGAGTGGGCACACTCGTCCTGCACTCTGTTCTGTCGTTCCACGCCACTAAACGGTGGAATTTGAAGAATTTGCTGAGACGGATAAGAGGGGCGATGTATATTGAGGCGGTGGAGAGGCGAAAGGCGTAGACGATCTGAAGAAAGGGGAAGTGGAACTGTTAGATATAGCAATATAGTAGTACTCAATTATCTTAGTTAGAAATATATTATTTGTTTGTTGACATATCAGTTCGTTGGAGAGTTTTATTGCCTGTAATATATGAAGATTATCGCACAAATTATCTTTTAACCTTTTTATAACTAAATTCCTACAATATCTGCAGAACCTACTGGTGCATATATTGATGTGAGGTGTTTGTTTGGAAATGCAACGATTCAATTAATATGTTAATGAATTCGTTACGTGAACGTTATGAGAGAATGAGGAGTGCTGTTTGAGATGCCGTTATTAACAGCAGTGCATTATTAGCTACACAATCACGTACACTCACATAAACACATGATCTCACAAACACGGAACAGAAAACAGTGTGTAATAATACACACGTACGTTAAAAGAAGCGTAATTTAAATGATGAACCACATTCCTGAATGTTTACCAAGAGCTGTAGTAGCACAATTACTAATTCCTCTTGAAAACACATCAGTGTGATTCATCATCAAAATTTCAAAGAATGCCAATTTTCCACGGTTGCTGCTTGTACTTGTAGAAGAAATGCTACAATGTACAATGTACAATGTATTGTACAAGAAATTTTACAATGTACAATGTACAATGTACAATGTATTGTATAAGAAATGCTACAATCTAACAATGCCTGGCTAGACACGCACGCTATCACACTGTTTTCTCACTTTAACACGTCTTCCTCCTCGAAGGTGTGGTTCTGGGCCCACAAGTAGTCAAACCACCGAATAATCCTGTTAGACAAGTCCTTCCCGACCTTCCTGTACCCCATATACTCCTTGAGATTATCTAGTCTGTCTTGGAATAGGTTCCTGTTGGCCCGCAGGTTAGTGATCACGTTGCCAATACTTCCCACCACTGAGGCGAATATCATGACCCCCACCAGGAACACAAATGTCAGGTAGAAGTACTCCCAGACCTCCGTGGGTTGCTGCACCTCCCCGATAGTGGTCATTGTTTGAGTGCTCCAGTATAGTGAGAAGGCGTACTTCATTGAGGTAGCTGCGTACTTGTTGCTGTGCCCGTCCATGTCTAACGAGGGAGGGTAGATGAAGTTGCTCCTGCTGTCCAGGTCGGTTATGTTAGCGTAGCTCTTCTCTATTATTTCTATTGATAGGAAGTAGTAGAGACAGGCGTTCCAGTGCATAACCATGAGCATCGCCATGCAGAGCACGGACAATCTGCCCAGGATGGGAAAGTTCGACACACACTCACTTCGGTCCACGAATTGCATAATGCGCTTCCCTTTCAACAGCCTTATCATACGCACTGCTGGCCTGGCAAACACGGGACGTGCAAAACCAGGTATGAAGTACACCACCTGGGAAGAGGAGTGTTAATGATTTGTGCTGTGTGCTGCCGGTTCAATAGGCTGCCGGTTCAATAGGCTGCCTGTTTAATAGGCTGCTTGTTCAATAGGCTGCCGGTTCAATAGGCTGCCTGTTCAATAGGCTGCTTGTTCAATAGGCTGCCGGTTCAATAGGCTGCCGGTTCAATAGGCTGCCGGTTCAATAGGCTGCTTGTTCAATAGGCTGCTTGTTCAATAGGCTGCCTGTTCAATAGGCTGCCTGTTCAATAGGCTGCTTGTTCAATAAACTGCCAGTTTAATAGGCTGCTTGTTCAATAGGCTGCCTGTTTAATAGGCTGCTTGTTCAATAGGCTGCCGGTTCAATAGGCTGCCTTTTCAATAGGCTGCTTGTTCAATAGGCTGCCGGTTCAATAGGCTGCCGGTTCAATAGGCTGCCGGTTCAATAGGCTGCTTGTTCAATAGGCTGCTTGTTCAATAGGCTGCCTGTTCAATAGGCTGCCTGTTCAATAGGCTGCTTGTTCAATAAACTGCCAGTTCAATAGGCTGCCGGTTCAATAGGCTGCCTCAATGCTGTTAAATTCGCACTAAACGTATTATTCGAATTAAATTCGCATACGAATTTTTCGCCATGCTGGCCTGGCAAACACGGGACGTGCAAAACCAGGTATGAAGTACACCACCTGGGAAGAGGAGTGTTAATGATTTGTGCTGTGTGCTGCCGGTTCAATAGGCTGCCGGTTCAATAGGCTGCCTGTTCAATAAGCTGCCTGTTTAATAGGCTGCTTGTTCAATAGGCTGCCGGTTCAATAGGCTGCCTGTTCAATAGGCTGCTTGTTCAATAGGCTGCCGGTTCAATAGGCTGCCGGTTCAATAGGCTGCCGGTTCAATAGGCTGCTTGTTCAATAGGCTGCTTGTTCAATAGGCTGCCTGTTCAATAGGCTGCCTGTTCAATAGGCTGCCTGTTCAATAGGCTGCTTGTTCAATAAACTGCCAGTTCAATAGGCTGCCGGTTCAATAGGCTGCCTCAATGCTGTTAAATTCGCACTAAACGTATTATTCGAAATAAATTCGCATACGAATTTTCTCTATAAATTACCGCATTTAAAAAATATACCAAATACGGGAACAGGAAATCACATGCCCGCATCAAAATGTTCACGATAGTTGGCTTTGTGTGGTGGAATATTGCCAAAACATGTGCTTCCCGCAACAGACTAACGTGGGTACTGACCAAGATCGCAAGGGGTTAAATTTAGCTCATACCCGAAGACGTTATGGAGTAAACTAACTTATCTTAATAAACTTGAAATCACTTAATTTCCTCCACAGTCTAGTCTATTTGTCGAGATTTGTAAGTTTGAGATTTGAAGTATAACGTCAAAATTCACACATCCAACTAGATTATAAGATTACTAGTGTAACCCGGCCTTCGGCCGGGATTTCACTGCCGCAGTTAAAAAGGGTAGGAGCATTTACAGACAGACAGACAGAAAACACACATTCTGGGATTATTAGTTAGATAAACTCGAAAATGCTGCGCCTTCCCACAGCCGCATTTTTATCGAATTTTCCGCGCATTTTTTGGCGAATTTAACAGCCCTAAAAATTAAAACTTGAAGTTTTAAATTGGCGAATTATTCGCGTACTTTTTGAGAACTCTAAATACGCCGTACTTTTTGACACAAATTTGGCGAATTTAACAGCCTGGGGCTGCTTTTTCAATAGGCTGCTTGTTCAATAGGCTGCCGGTTCAATAATCTGCCAGTTCTATAGGCTGCCAATTCTATAGGCTTCCAGCTCAATAGGCTGCTTGTTCAATAGTTCAATAAACTGCCAGTTCTACAGGCTGCTTGTTCAATAGGCTGCTTGTTCAATAGGCTGCTTGTTCAATATGCGGTGAGGTGAAGTATAACAGTGCTGGAAAGATGAGGTCACTCTCATTTTTACAAAGAGGCGAGAAGAAATAAAGTTAGGAGATCTATATTGTAAGGAAGAGTAAGTATTTAAAGAACACAACATGGGAGGATGTCTGTACAAGGTCACGTGTAAAGTCACGTGTAAGAGGGTATTAGGATTGTGTTATTAATAAAACTGCTTTGTTAACCTTTATTAATCTACGACAGGAAAAAGTTAGAAGTTTATTTCCTGAATGAAACTTAAAAAGTAGGCGTATGAGCAAATAATGCTGTTTTGATGTAAGATATTATCTGTGTCAACTCCTAACTGGTCCCTACGAGAGTGTAAATAAGATAACGAGAAACTAATGTCCGCCACTAAATAAACATGTCTATCAAAGGGACTGTGTCACTGTGTCACTGTGTCACTGTGTCACTGTGTCACTTTGTCACTGTGTCACTGTGTCACTGTGCCACTGTGCCACTGTGTCACTGTGCCACTGTGTCACTGTGTCACTGTGTCACTGTGTCAATATGTCACTGTGTCACTGTGACACTGTGTCAATATGTCACTGTGTCACTGTGCCACTGTGCCACTGTGTCACTGTGTCACTGTGACACTGTGTCAATATGTCACTGTGTCACTGTGCCACTGTGTCACTGTGTCACTGTGACAGTGCTATAACCTCACCTGAGTAGGAATTATACTGAATATGTCGATGTAGAAAGCCATGCTCTTCACATACTTCTTTGAAAGTTGTGCTGTGTCTGTCACTAACAGACCTCGCTCCAAAAAACCTGTCGTGAGTTTTATATTTACGGGTTTAAGGAGAAAATCTCTGATACTTATAGCTGAATTAATTTTTGTGAATTATCCCTAGCATGAACATTTAGCATATTTTTATAGCGTCGATACAACATAACTAACCATTCATGCTAGTAATTATTGTAGCTATATAGTATTGCATATAATATAGTATTATTTATAGTAAGGTATTACTTGATATGAGGATATCAATCATATCGTATTTGGATCTTGATTTTCATAATGGCGAGACAATCTTTGTGTACAAATATCCAGTGACGGCTTTAGTGAGATGCTACAGGATACTAATTACTAACTAACAACATCTTGCCTACTTACCCAGTCTCTGACTAACCTATTCGAAACGAAGCGAAGAAATCTAGGACGTACAAAACATCAGCTAAGATGTCAATAACCATCCAAGTTGTGAAGAAGTTGCCTTCCTCCAGCTCACTGAAATTATAAAAAAATGTAAATCTAAACTATAAATATCTTTATCTTTAATTATAGATATGTTCAGTAATATTAAGTATCTTGTGTGAGCAGTTTTACTAGATACTGAAAACTAGATATTATACTAGAAAATAAACTGAAGCTCAGTTCTAACCTGAAGGAAATTCTGGCTGGAATTATAATGAAGTTGTAAAGGACTGCCAGCGAAATGATGGATAGCCAATAGTAGTATATATCTGAAATGTTAGCAATTACATGTTAGTCTTTATCTTAATTTTACATAACTTTTTATCTAGATTGATATTTGTCTATAAGAAACGGGATCTTATGATTGGTAACTGTGTTACTGTGATGTTGTTGAAATATAAGTATTTCTTCTAACAGCTTGACTAATATATTAATATAAATCAACACGACGAATCAATTTAAAGGAATTTCCAATTAATTCACCGTGTTAATTTGTCCAACAGTCTAGCTGTTGGAATAAATAATTATAATTCAACATAAAATATGCGGCCAATAAACAATCACCCAATCATTCAATTTGAAGTAGAACAAGTGAGACTCGAAAATACCATATAAAGGATAAGAAATAAATGCAACTTTAAACTAAGTCTAGCCGTGATTAAGATAAAACCGTTCGCAACAAAATTAGGTTGCCGACAAGACAGAAACTAACTTTTACTAAAGTCTGGGAAAACTTTACAAAATACTGGTGACAATATCCAGACACGACTGTTAGGTTAATAGTGGACTACTACTGGTACTACTGAAGACGTTAAGAACGTTACCAGATCAACAATTAGTAATGTTTGCCATTGTGTCTCAGTCATACCAGTAATAGGATAGAATACAAAGAAAGTGAATAAACAACAGAGAACCTTCCATCTGACTCCTGATACCATATTATTATGCTAGTTACTAAAGTAACACTGTAAATCCAGCTTACCAGAAAAAGGGTCGAATACGAAGTGGCAAAAGAAGTTTATCAAACAGTTCCATCCCTTGTCCTTTGTGCTGAGAGGTTTGTTCTCTTTTATGTCTGCCGCAGCTCCAAAGTTGAGCCGCTGTAAAAACTCATCCGGCTCCTGAAATGAAGAATATATATAACACTGAGCTAACCAATGTAGTTAATATTAATATAATAGTATAATAATACAATAATATAATACAAGATAATACTGAACTTATTATAAAATAATATTCACTGAACTAAACAATTGTAAACAATTTCAACTTGATGTGAATTAGTTTGCAATATACATCAAGCCGACAAATATTTGCAAACATTTCGCATTGATGTCTGAAAAAAAAAAGTTTAAATTGAATATTAGTCGTGATCAAGAATAGTGTTTAAATAAATAAATTGATAACTTGTATCACAGTCTCCACTGAGAAATAAACCGTTATAATATAACCCTTACAATTGGACTAGTTAATGACGTTGGTATCAAGGATTGTCTGTGGAGGATCTCACTACACTGTCTACTGAATTTCTGCATATTACTGGCATCAACTCCAAACAAACAAGGGAATAATAAAGAAACTTGCCCAAACACATAAGATATTGGCAACGTTAGTACTTGCTGTACAGCACAGGTTACCGTCTAATCCTAATTAAGTGTTCTGTGTAATTTGCCCATTACTTCCGTCTTAGCGTATTTTTGGATGGTTGTGTCGTCAAATAATAGTTAAGTAGTACGTGATGCCACCACGTAGTCTAAACGTGTTATTACGTCATCATAATTATATTACCCATCATTCTTATTGGCTAGCTGGTCATAAACTGATAAGGATAACAAAATGGAAATTCAGAACAATTGAGCACACCTTCAGATAGAGATTTGAAATGAGGCAGTCACTAAGAACAGGAAAAGCAAAGATCACTGTTTCAGGGTGACGAGGTTTAATATGAATAACATAAGAATAATGTTATAGCCCCTCCAGTCCCCTCCCCCTCCTCCCCCCCCCCCCCCACATAAGAGTAATGTTCTCTGTTTTGTCTCATATTAATATATTGTGGGATAAAGAAACCCCGGCTGGTTAACACTTTTAAACATACATTAGTGTTGTTACAGATTATCGTGGAAGTTGTCTTGAGGTTCATGTTAGCCAAGCTGCCTTCCAGATCAACTGCAGGCACAATACAGGTTCCAGCTGCAGGTACGACGCAATCCCCCATCATAACAGAGATTGCAAAACAACCTAGGCTCTAGATCCAACACAAACAACACGACATGATCGATAATGTCAGTGTCACTAAAAGTATAACATTCTCTCGGAAAGGCTCTGTTATATTAACTAGATAGCGCTGCTGTTGTCAGAACCTTTATAAAAAGGTTGTATAGGTAGTTATAAAGAGAGTAGTAGCACTGACTCTCTCTCTCTCTCTCTCTCTCTCTCTAGTACTAGTTATAGAGAGGTAAAATGTGTCAGACAGTAAAATGGAGGTTGTTATACCTTGTAGGGTTCTAGAGTGCCGTGACCGTTCCTTCTGGTACAACTGTACTGTAAAGTAGGGACGGTAACGGCTGACTGCTCCCGCTCCAGAGTGCGGACTGACTGCTCCCGCTCCAGAGTGCGGACTGACTGCTCCCGCTCCAGAGTGCGGACTGACTGCTCCCGCTCCTGAGTGCGGACTGACTGCTCCCGCTCCTGAGTGCGGACTGACTGCTCCCGCTCCAGAGTGCGGACTGACTGCTCCCGCTCCAGAGTGCGGACTGACTGCTCCCGCTCCAGAGTGCGGACTGACTGCTCCCGCTCCAGAGTGCGGACTGACTGCTCCGGCTCCAGAGCGCGGACTGCAGGACTGGCTCCGTCGGATTGACTGTCCGCACCTCATACGGTGATTGGGGGACACATGGTGCCGTCATAAGTTACATGGTGACAAATGGGGGCCTGAACGCTCTCAATCGCTGTAAGTTCCAAAATGGAAAACAATGTAAAATATTGTTAAATGAAGCAGCAAATATAAAACTATGCGGTATTTATCTCTAAATAAATATAAAACAAAGGTTAAAAGCGAATAAATTTTACACCTAGTCAATTTATGCGTCTAATTATTCGTGACAAAATTGCGAACTGGAAATTTTCATATCAATTTTGTTCCAATTTGGTTTGAAATTCGGGATTTACAAAATTTGTTTGAAATCTAGGACGAACAACTCGCGTTTTTCTGTCGAAAAGGTAGAAGATAGCACATTTATTCGAACAGAGACATAATATTACATAAATGTGGGACTTCTACGATAAAAAGGTTCTTTCATTAACATAATGATATTCTCCGCAAGAAGGCACACCGGGTGATGAGCTCGCTAACTTCAACCGCTGTGCCTTCCTCTTACTTCAACTAACGTAGACGGGAACATAATGCACATGAGCTCTCAGGATGTCTTAACTGTACTAAGTTAATTACAAGTTCCGAGTTTCAGAACAAGAAGTGAACTGTAACGAAATGCACCACACCCACAGAGCAATCTTGCTTAAAATTTAAATACTATTTCATTCGAGATGGATTTAAAATGTCAGCCCATTTATATTCATTTAGCAGGTCATTTAACTGAGGGGGAGATCTCTACAGATGAAGCTCAGTTTGAACTATTTTCTATTTAAGGAGCTGTGAACTTATGTATAAAACTTGCCATTGATGTTATGATATAGTGTTTTAATACTTTTATAAAATAGTGTTCTAATTCAGTAGTACTCATTATAATTGCAATGTCAGGATAAGAAAATAAATTTCGATATCATATATTATTTTAAATAAATATGTTCGTAAAGAAACACTATAACACGAGAAACGCTATAACACGAGAGTTAAAGCAGAAATATTAGGGAGTTTAGTAGAGGGGAGTAGTAGAGATCTAGAACCCGTCTTATGATTAGATAGAGGGAAACAATAAAAAGCAACTTGATAATGTAGTGACTGGGTTAGATTACCATCATCTGTAAAGTAAGGTAACTACGAAGTACGAGCAAGGAGCAAGGTACACACAATGGTTGGAACTGCATACTGCCGTCGTTTTGACAATAGCACACTTTACACTTCAGACTCAAGTCTCGAGTGTGGCACCGACTACCATGTTTATTCCGACTACAGTATATTCCGATGCGAGCTTCAACATGGGATTTGAGCCAAGGAAAAGGGATTTGAGAAATTCCGGGCAGATGTGGAGGAGCCAAGATATGATAGCATGTACCTATTGAAGGTGAAACGAAGACTTATTAAGAACTGTAAAAGTTACTTTATTTAAGTTTAGTGCTTTACCACAGTTATATATAAATAGTAGTGTTCTTAAACTTCAATTTATTATTATATATTAAATATCATAATCTTATTTAAAAACCAGAGAATACTTCCAAAATTCGTTATAACTTATTATTTTGTAACCTTAGGGAAAAGCAAAGAGAGAATAGTAGCCAAAAAATATCTTGTTGTAAGTAGAGTTATGATGTACGCCTCCAATGATCATGTGTGGCCGTGTGTATGAACTATGAGCTAAGATATGATAGCATGTGTGATTGTGCGGTGTACCGTGTTCCAATTATAGTAATTACTAATAATTACTAATTACAGTAATTATATACTACAATAGGAACCTTGTTGGGTGCTAAGCCTCCTCGTGGAGGATGGTAACTAAGAGGATCCTTCTTGGTGTAACCTAGTACTCTACCTAGAGGGGTCACCCTAGTCGTGTTCAGCATCCTCCTCACAATTATACAACAAAGTTACAAACAAACCGTCTTCAGACTTTACCGCTCACTGTATGAAAGTGCAACTAACAACTAACTAACTACTTGAAACGCGTTGTGTGAATTGTAAATATTCGGCTGATTGTCATGTAGTAAGCGCAGATAGAGTACGAATTAAACGGAAATATATTTTAAAGAAGGTGATCGTGCGGTGTCAGTGATCACCGTGCTCGTTTTAGATGTAAAACTCTCTGTGGTAAGGACCACAGCTGCTCTTAGGATTGATTGCTACCTGACTACGCGTTGTTACTATATTGCTATTTCTTATTGTTAACGAACCTTCCTGAATAGTGCGATGGTCGGTGTTTCTTAAGTAATATTATTATTAAGTAATATTATTATATTAAGTAATAAAATACGTTTAAACGTATTTCCTAACGTTTTGAAGCATTTATCTTTTTTAAATTACTTAAACATATTCCTTATTATGAAAATACGCGGGATAATAGTGGAAACAGGAGTTATAAACGCATGCAAATTGTAAAGCTGACGAAGTTTTAAAGGATTGGGCGACATCTGTCCGACAGCGACATCTGTCCGACAGCCGGACAGATCATATCTCAAATTGGAAATGTGTCGTATTGAAATCAGATGATAATTTCGGACAGAGGTCGTTTATTTCTGGTATGTGGTACCCTGAGTCGGACAGATGTCGCTGTCGGACAGGAGTCGTGTTACCGTTTTAAAGACGGAACTTTTTAAGAGTTTCAAAAGGGCACCGTTTATCAAGGCTGGCTGACAATGGTTCAACAATATAACTGTAAGGGAGTATAACGCGGAGAAGCTCTGTGGAGTGTGGGATAGAGAGCTTGTTAACTACATGTTCAATAATTAACCTAATTATACTGCATATAAAACTTTAATACTTTAAGTGGCTATTAAATATATCAAACAGGATAATAATAAACTTACAACTTTACAACTAAAAGTGCTTTTTAAACTGGGCTACCCTCAAGTAAATGTGAAGTATAGTTGGCGTGAGACTTTCACACAGGTACAGAAAGGTGAATAATGGTGGAACGCCGTGATTGTTACGAGACGTGGCTAGGTGTCAAGTGCTGCAATGACAATCAAAACCAAAATACCATAAAGTTAGGTACAATGGGGAGACACGCATCACGTCTCCTAATTGTAATTCTTGTTCACGTTGGTACTATACCATGCTGCTTGAACGACTAGTAGTTAGGGCAAGAGTTGATTTTTCTGTGAACAAATTCGTAACAAAGGTTTGTCTACAGGAATGTGTTGTCCGTAGTCCCAGGAACCACCAAAAAAAACCGTCCAGCTGAAACTTTTGGGCAAAAATTTTTATAGTCATTTTTCCCCAGGAACCCATACGCCCCACCCCTAATATTGGTTATTCGGCTCCCGAAGGTCTTGAGATCTCCATAGGGGGTGCAAAATGACCGCAATGGCCACATTATGGCAGGCGAATGATAGTTTCAGAACGATTGGGGCTTTATTTTTCGAAATAAATGGAATTTTTCGAAATTTTTCGAAATTTTATTGAAATTTCGGAAAAAAATACACCAAATTATTTTTAACGCTTATTTCAAATCTATTTCAAAATTCATCTACAAATAACAAATACAGTTAATCTAAAATGTGTATTCTCAGTAAATACCATGACAATTATTAATACACAGTTAATATTAATCAAAATTCGCTTGTTCTTCAGGTTCATCATGTCTAATGTTTGTGCAGTTCATACCATGGCATCGTCCACAAGCTGGCAAACAATTGAAGCCATATTTCCTACATGAACATCTGAAAGTCAAACAGGCCTGTTCCACATCGACAGAACAGTTACAACATATAAGGTTCAAAATAGGCTCTGGAGCAATTATAGCTTTTGTTGCAACTGGTTCGTAAGTGCCACCAGGAGCCAATTTCCAGCCTTAGTCAAGGGGATTCAGGCTGTCAGCGTTAAGCATGACCCAGTTATGGTACTGTAAGTAAGCTCTAAGGATGTGCTCCGTTGCTGAAGCTATTGTTGGAGGTAGCCTATTCGGATTGAGACTCTTTTTCGCTACCATCCTATTGTATGCTAGGAATCTCAAAGCAGAAGGAGTATTTTTCTTGTCACCATAAATGTACTGCAAGAAACAGAGGCCTGCCTCAATAATCTTTTCTTTTGATTCTCTCACCGAAAGTAATGTTGCCAACTGACCTTGCTCATCAAAGGTGAGAGCTTTCTTTAGCACTTTAACCTTGCTAAAACCAAACAGTCCACTGACGCTATCACAACCTGAAATACTATGAATTAGAAGAAGTATCTCCTTTTCTTTATGATCTAGATGACTTGATATTTCTTTGATTGAATATGTACCCTTCTTCGTTGTTAGATAAATATCATTGTGATGGCCACTGTTGAAATGATGTACTAATAGACAAACTATATCGGTATCCTCTGCCTTCAATTCAACATCGCCAAGGAATGACATTTCCAATGTTTTCTTTGCAATTAAAGTATCAGCATCGCTACAAGCTCTGATCACTTCAATACCATTTACAGTAAAAATGCTTGAGATAAGGTCGATCAGTTCTTTTTTGTTATTGTTGTTGCTCAGAAATGTTGTTTTGGTGACAGTACAAAAGGTGGATTTCTTTACAGCAATATTAGCACAGAACGCTTTTACTCTCCTCTTGTGCTCGTGATCTTTAGTAGAAGGCTCATATCCATCAAAAATCACAGTAACTTCCCGATTTTTAGGGATAAGCTTCAAGTACTCCATTGCTACCTCACCATAATTGTCACACCCTTTAAATGAGCTTAGTTGGTGAATTAGCCAACCTCCATCAATGACTAGTGGGATCGTGAAGCTGCAAGATTTAAGTGTAGATTGGTTTATGTTTTTGAGGTAGCTACCAAGAGCAGCCTTATTAGATTTCCTCATCATCTGATATTGATCAAATAAGCTCATCGGCACCACAGTTAACTCGTATGTTAGGCATTCCTCTATTGAAGTCTCTCTATCAGCAACCAAGACTAGACGGTTAAAACACTTCAACGGATCGAATGCAACGCTTTTATTATTCACTTTAACCTGCTTTCTTAGTTGTGTCAAGTTCTTTGCTTTACCTTTGATACTTATCTTATCGATGAATGTCAACCCATCTAGCTCACGTTGAAGGACAGCCCCAACGGCCAAACATTCCTCGGGATTCACCTCATCGTTCCCAGACTGTGATATAAGACCAGTCGAAAAAGATATTAACTTAGTCTTATCTTCGGATACTGTAAAGTCGACAGTAACTTTAAACCAAGTTAATAATTTTCCAAATACATCACAGTTTTTCTTGATTGATGACTTGGTAAGATCTGAGTGGATGGCAGCTTTAGTTGGTACTACTCGCTTCGATGAATTAGCTAATGAATCTCCAAAAGACTGATTTATTGAAGCCATCTGATTCAGGGTGGCCACCCATAACTTGTGAGCGGACTCACGATTACGCATCCTTCCACTTGTTAATCCACCACTAGATTTAGCTGCCCTCATAAGACTCTGCTCTATGGAGAGGTCAGTCCACACCCCGGCCCACTCGTGGTCGTTGTAACTAACCGTGTGAAGCCCAGTTACTTTAAAGGTCTTTAAAAGCGCCCCATACTTGACTTCAAAAATAGCATCCTGCTCCAAATACAGTCTTAAAGGTTTTGCATACTGTCCCCTCCCAGCTGCTGCGAAGTAGGGCAGCATCAAAGCTACTGCTGATAAATGCATATTGTAGTCGTGCAACCTCTCTGCTCTTATGAAGTCCTTTACTAGTGTTATCATATTGTGGTAAGTAACCCATAGAGCTGCTGTTCTACTGTTGGAGAACAGGTTCTTTTGAAGCAGAGTTATTTTCTCTGATAGATCCTGAATAGATTTAGTCTTAAAGTTAACACCTAGATTTTCGTTCACACATTTGTTGATGTAACCTTCCAAGTCTACTAGTTCATCGTCGTAAACTTCTTCCTCTATAATGAAACAACAAAGAGCGGCGTCGATCAGAAAGTGGGCTCTCAACGCTTTATATTATTATAGTAAGATCCTCCATCCGATATATGCGTGACGTCTCCAGGATACACGAGTTTGATGAGCTCCTCTAAACCCGAGTCTGCCATTATATAGCCTATGCAGTATGCAGCCAAGAAAACTCTTGAGAGTGTGGAAGCCCCTAACCCTGACCACAATAGGCATCCCAGTTTCCAGTACTATTCGGGTGGCCTTAATCCACAATGGCAGATCGAATGTGATTATCATCGGCTGTTGTTTGTTAGTTAACCTTGATATTTGTTAATTGAAGTTATTTCCCGAGTAAGATTTGAAATAAGCGTTAAAAATAATTTGGTGTATTTTTTTTCGAAATTTCAATAAAATTTCGAAAAATTTCGAAAAATTCAATTTATTTCGAAAAATAAAGCCCCAATCGTTCTGAAACTATCATTCGCCTGCCATAATGTGGCCATTGCGGTCATTTTGCACCCCCTATGGAGGTCTCAAGACCTTCGGGAGCCGAATAACCAATATTAGGGGTGGGGCGTATGGGTTCCTGGAGAAAAATGACTATAAAAATTTTTGCCCAAAAGTTTCAGCTGGACGGTTTTTTTTGGTGGTTCCTGGGACTATGGACAACACATTCCTGTAGACAAACCTTTGTTACGAATTTGTTCACAGATTGACCCATAAACAGCAATTCTTGCCCTAACTATAGACTCCACGCAGGGAGTTAGGTAAAATAGCCAACACTATACGCCAAACATGAATGATGGTTACCTCTGCAGTACGTGGGTGTGTAAAATCCGGATTGGAATATTATTTATGGGTCGCATAGTTGAAATGTCTTCTTGGGTAAATTTCTATTGATCCTGTTTGATGCAACAAGGAAAAGGCTCTTATCAGGAAAGGAATTATTCAACGTTTCAATGTGACAACATCGTATTCATGATCTCAAATTATTTGTTATATATAGTAGTACTGAAAGTATTAAAACTGTGGGTGTTTATCATCTGCACATAAATTATACTTGTAATTGTGTAATGTGTATTATAATAGACGTGGATAATTACAGATGATACTTTTGAGTTTTATAATATGTTATACTTGTTATTGTGCAAGAGGACGTGTCTTTTAAACCTTTATTTTCAGGCAGCCGTCAAGACATAAAACTAAATTAGGTTCTAGAGGCAGAAAAGTCATTTTATCCTTTTTAAAAAGAACCTCTTAAATGAGATTTGCTGCCTACCACGGAGACTTCTCCGCACGTCAATGGTATACCTAGTATATCCTGGAGGCCATAGCGTTCATTTTAATGTCCGCTCGAATAAAGTCTGTCCCTTTACCATCCAAGTCAAAGTTCGTTGAATTTTTTTCCCAAAAGTATGAACTACGAACTTATTGTCCAGGAAATACTTTTTAATTTCGTTCAATTTCTATCATCGGACCGAATTATATGAACATTTTTACTGCTTAACGACTCCTTTTCTTGAAAAATGATATGCTAAAATTGGGGAAAAACGTCCAAAAAGATGACAAAATTTCGGATTTTAATGGTTTCGAATCTTATGGTATGACTCTGGAGAAAGTGTAAACGTATTTAATTTACAGGTATGACTACTGGAACACTTCTAAACCTGCATATTATTCAGTTTAAAGAAAACTACAAGATCACCCAATAAAAATGTCCAAGGAGATCAAATAAGACTACCAATCGAGAAGAATTGAGGATGTGGGTTACAACGGCTTATTGATTGACTAATTGAAGGCTAATTGATTGACTGAATTAATCGAAGTTCTGACTAATTTGAGATTAAGACCTATGGTAAAAGACTCCAGAAACGATCCTGCGTGGTATTTAGCCATTAGGCGAAACTAGTAGGAGTTATAGAGGCGGGTAACCGTCAACCGACAAATACCGGTCATTATGTACAGCTGTACCAGGTATAAATAGCAACCACGTGATGCCCTTATATGGTAGTGAAAGTAGTGACCAGGAAGATATTGCATTGTGCTGAGGCAGAGCGCTGTATATAATGACAGGTTCAGGTGTAACCAGCGCCGCTTATAATGGCCAATTTAGAGTTTTTGGTGGAAATCAGCCGTTATGTGGATCCCAGAGAAATGCAAGTCTTCAAATAATATTTACAATGAAAAGAAGAAACAATGAGATTTGTACAAAGTACAAGGGTTGTTGAGAAGTTTACGACGAACGGTTTTTTTAGTTTTGCCTGATTTTTGCGGGGGATATTTTACCATGGTTACTAACAATGTAAGTTATTTGAAAAAGGAAACACATTCTACAGAGGAAACTACTAACATTACTTACCATGAAGGTAACTAATAATATGTATTATTATGATTGGTCCTCCCACCCAGCCGATTCTACAGAACGCTTTGCGGCTTTGTGTCTTGTTCGGAAGTTTGCCGCTGACAGAGCTATGAGCTGTTGATGAAATGAGAAATTGTTTGTTTTAATTACTCGATGAAATTCAATCGCCCTCTCCTCTTCTATATGCCGAGAAGAGACGTTCAACTTCAAAGCTGGCTTTAACATCACAAACACAATGTTCACTGTTAATAACACAATGTACACAATGTACACTGATGATAACACACTGTTGCAATAACACAATGTACATTGTTGCACGATGCCCGGTTTTCAAACGGTTCGCCTTTGCTAATCGGGTGGGGCTGTGCAGTGGTTTGTTACACGTTATATAGGTTCCATATCTCAAGTTAATGTAGCGGTTTGTGATTGTAGAGGGGGAGGGGTGTGCAACATTGTCATGTTAGATATTCTAGCTAACGGAACAAGTTTATTCCCAAGTAACATGACGACTATAAAACCTCGATGGAAAAAATGAAAGAGATTTGTCAGCGAGCAGTGATTCGGAACACTATAAATTCTGTAACTCCTGTAACTCCTGTAACTCCTGTAACTCCTGTAACTCCTGTAACTCCTGTAACTCCTGTAACTCCTGTTAGAATCATGGTAGAGGTTATAGAGAGGCTTGTCACTACTGAGTTTTAACAGCCCCTGTTGTCATGGTGTTTAACACAGCAACCTATAAAGTCTATTGATACACCTCGTGAATAATACGGCATAAACAGAACAAGGTTTCCCCCAGTAGCCTGGTAAGTACTAGCAGTTGCTAGGTAAGTACAGCTAGTACTCAGGTAGCTACTCTGAAGCAACTACAGGTAACTACTACTTAGTACTTGTAAGATTATGTCGGGTTGGAGCTCCCCTCACCAGCTCAGCTGTTTGACAGTGGGAAAAATACCAGTATTCACGTGACGGCTCAGCTAAAACTTAGGCTCTAAGTCACACATTCTCTCAGTTCAAACACAAGGAAATATTTCCTGACACGTGATTAAATGTTAGGAAATTTTCCTGCGATTTAAAACTCACGCGTGTTTTAAAACTGCGGGATGAGAATGTCTGGAGAGGGTTAGTGGGGGACTTTGCTGGTTTCGGAGATTGTGCAGAGGAAGAGGAGGGTGTGCTGGGTCCACTAGTAGAGGAGACAGTCAGCTCCTCCTTCTCCACTGCCATTGTGATTAGCTGGGCAGAGAACGGCAGGGTCAGGGGCCGCTTGTGCCGGATCTGCTTCAGTCTCCGGCTTGAAGCGATGTTTGGTAGTGATATGTTCATTTGTCAGTTTCTGGTAGAGAGTTGGGAATCATGTGTTTTAACTTTTAACTTCAGTTCTATGGCTGATAAAATCAGTAATGGCTGTATTTGATGATTTGCATATTAGTAATTTGATCGATGGCCTGACGGTTGTAATTGCCAAAGAAGTGAGTAAGTGTCAACAAAGTGAACTAAAACAATAGAGCCACAGTAAATGTTATCTTCAAGCTGGCAACTAAGGAATGTTTGATCGCGCACTACGCAACAACTAAATCTGGGCGCCTCGCGGTTTAACTATGTCTGGTTGGCTAGAACATAATTACAAAGCACAACAAAGGGAGGCTCCAGCGGCGCTAGATGTTCGACAAATAACAGCCCGTTCAGGAGCATGCATTATGTAAAACTAAGAGATTCAAATGATCTGATCTTATGTTACAAAGTTAATGGTTAATCTGAACTGCTACTCAGGCATCTCCGGTATCTGCATTAGTTAAGTAAAACAGTCTGACGTACTAAAGCGATCTTCTAAAGCGGTATTCGTAGAAATAAGCTGAGCTTACGTCTTATACGTTATAGTTATGTAATAACTTAATGAGCACTTAATAAAACTTCTAATGTGAGAACCTGATAGGTAGTCGTCATGACAATGCACGCACAAGTGAACAATGCACGCACAAGTGGTTCCTATCTGACAGCCTAGACTCTACCCCTCGCACTGCAAGTACTGCCACCTCTCTCACGGTGTATCGTGACAGCCTGGTCCTGACAATAAAAGAACTTTATTGTGTAATGTCCCCAGCTTGTCAGCTCACAGTGAAACCACTCACGAAATAGTATTTAACAGTTCCAATCTTCGTACATTAGGCTGGCCACAAGATGGATATATCGATCAAGTGATAGGAGAGGAAAAGCTTTTAACCAAAGCTGCATGATATTGTATTTATATAGTTATATTATGCCTTTATGATTGATGGGGCTCTCACAATGGACCACACACAACTGACGAATAGCTCCGGAGGCGGCACTCTTTGGGAAGACGGCACTCTGCAGGGTAGGCGGCACTCTTTGGGAAGACGGCACTCTGCAGGGTAGGCGGCACTCTTTGGGAAGACGGCACTCTGCAGGGTAGGCAGTACTTTCCTGGGGAGGCGGCACTCCTCTCCCGATAACTGACAGTGTATTTGATTGGTTATAACTATAAACTTATTTCGGTTATGAATCACGCTCTAAAACATACTCAGTACTCACTCCGTCACGCCCTCCTCAGCAGCTTGTTTATTTACCCTTTTAGGAACATCAGAGGACGACTTCTTGTTGCTTAGAGGTAGGAGCATTTGCTCGGCCATAACATCCGCACTTTCCGCACCCTCCGCACTATCCGCACTCTCCGCACTACCAAAACGTTATGACAGTGATACTCGCGGAGAGAAATATTATGTCATAAACAAGTAAGTGATGGTATTATCTTATTAATCTGCAATGCATGGTATTGTTCTAGTCTTTATGTGTTAAGTGGTCGCTTTGTCAGAGCTCCTGTATTACTACTATCAATGAGAAGGGCTGCTCAGTTTGCCTCATCCGACCCCGACCAAGGGGTCATTGTTAGAGCCATTTGTCTAATACCCATTATTCATACAACGTTAGAGCCCCTAACTCACACAATGTTATAGCTGCTAGCTCGGATAACATTACCCTGCTAGAGAGGAGCTGTGTACCGAATACTGCTGAGTAGTCTACCTAGCAAGTAGAGCAGGCTGCTAGAGGTCTACCTCAGGGAGTAACCATGGTGACAGGGAGGAGTTAATCACCATAACAAATAGAGTACTAGTAGACTAAGCAGTTAGGTCTGTTCCTTAATTAGCCTCCAGCTAATAGCCCTTATTATCTATTTTAACACTGAACATATCGCCGTGATATGCATATACGGCGGAATATTAAGGGATAAGAACGAAAGTGCCCTTTAATTTCGCAATTACACTTTTCTTCACTCTTTCGTTTTTTATGTACTTTTATATCAAGACACTGAAAAAATCGGAAAACGATACCTATGAAATACTGATAAACTCGAAACTGACAAATCGCATTAACTATGATCGTTTTGCCACCGCTGAAAGGTAAATAATGAACTTGGATGTAATAAAGAAGAAATTGACTGTCAATATATTCATTTGTGAGTTTTAACGGAGACTACATGATAGGCGATACTAAGAATAGACTAATATGTCATGTGATGAAGATTATTAAGAAGTCGAGTCTCTTCCATCTGGTTATTAATGAGTAATGACACGTTAAAGGTATTAATAATCCGACCCTTTTGCACTGCTTAAAGAATATAC